TGAAAGGAATTACTGGGGGAAAAATCAATTCCTTAAATGTAGAATAACCTTCAGGATATGTGGCAAAATTTAGTGCAAGAATCATAAATTTGACTGTTGATTTACGATATGGTGCAAAAAAAGTTGAGCGTATAAATTTTAAAGGCTTAGAAATTAAATAAGAATTAAAGACTAAAAATGAAATATAATTATAATAAGAGGTTGTATGTAAATCATGTGGATAATGTAGATAAACACCACAATGCTTAAGATGAGACAATCGAGAAATATTATTTATCCAGTACTTATAATCATTTCCGGGAATTAAAAATGCAGTCTGTGATAAAAATCTTTCTATAAATTTAACATTCTCATTATATTTATCTAACTCACAAAGTGAAGAAGTAATAACACTTATCAATCCTGTAAATGAAGAAATGTTGCCACTTTCAAGTTCTGATAGGCTTTTTTTAAGCCAAGTCATAAAAACATCTTTGACTATTTTATTATTCATATCATCTTTTCTTTTTTTTGGATCCATTAATGCATTCATCAGATCTTTTCCATAGACTTGCAAATATAACAAATTTGTTTTATCTAAACATTCATCTATTTGAGTATCTTCCAAATATTTATAATAACCTCCCTTTTCATAAAAAGAGTCAATCAGTTTATCAAAAGATTTATTTTTAAATAATGAATCGAATTCATGATCTTGCACATTCACTTGCATATCCTCTTGCACAGTACTCTTTATATAATTAGACCAACTTTTATGTTCGACTAAACTTTCAATATACAAATGATCGTTTTCAACTTTTACAATATAATCAAAATAAATAGTATAAGCTTTTTTCCTAACATAATCTTCTATTCCAGATCCAAATAGTTTACTTGCATCTATAGGATTTGAAAGATTGTGTGGGTTCATTATAGAAAATTGCCTCTGATCAGTTCCATGTATGTAGAAAGAAAATAGTAATCGTTCTTCATTCTCTGCTCCAATAAAACGCATATTATCCAAAAGTAAAAGACCTTTATCCCAAGGATCATTAAGGTTATCAACCGCTATATTTTAAATTAAATTAATTTAGTAATAATCATAACTTATAGATATAAATTAATATAATAAACATTTACATTTTTTTATTAGTATACCATCTTTTACTGAATAAACAAATATTTGCGCAGGCTTTTTATAATCATCTCCATGACCTGTTTTAATCTTTGTTTCTCCTACTGATAGTAATGTATTGTCATTACTTAAACACATTTGAAGACTTTTTCTGCTATTATATAAATTCCAATCCAGAACATATCTCATCTCAAACTTCAAAGTTGTTAAATCCCATTGCATAATTACAAATGGCAACTTTAAAAGGACTAACAACTTTCCTTTTGGAGAGACAGTGCATTTATAATATTTGGAAAGCTCTATACTGTGCTTGCATATCCACTGATGTTTG